TGACTCGCGATCACAAATATATTAATAATTTTTGACCTAATGCATTATAATGACTTTTTTTTTTGCAGTACTCCTAATAAAATAGGAAATCATAATTGACCAGAAAAAAATATGAAATTAGGCGCAGAAGTTTATTTTATTTTTTTTTGTTTTTAATAATTGTTGCTATTTTAAACAAATTATGAACAAAATCAAACAAATTTTCAAATAAGAAAGAAAAAATTAGTGAATGATTTCTATCAAATTAAATAAAAATTTTTATCTTCTTTTGGTTTTCCAAATTTTTGTTTTTTAACACAAAAACACGAGATATGCGTTGGTCCATTATTATTCCTTATTGGAATGTGGATTGGTATGCCCATTGAAACAACCAAAGATCCGAGTATGGAACGACCAATAATGCAGGGATAATGCCGTTAATACTCGCGCTAATGCGTTTAATTTTCGACCCATTATGGGATCTCAATTTTGAAAGCGCAAGCGCTATATATAGTTTACGCATAAAAAAAAATTTACGCTAAATTAATTTTTATTGCTCTATAAAATTCTTCTCTTACAAAACATAAAATAAATTGATGACACATAGGGGAAATATATATGAGTGTTTTATGAGAATATACTTAGTTTCAAATAAAAAAAAGGAAAATAAAAAAGAACGTCTTTGTGAAAAAAATCACTATTGTAAAAAAAAATTTTCATTACACAATTTTTTTTTTTTTTTTTTTTTTTTTTGAAAGGCACAACACACAAAAATTGATCTGTTGAATATTTTAAGAATCTTCAAATCACTTTCAATTCTTTACCATCACTCGATTTTTGTTACCTCCTGAGAAACCGATTTAGTTTTACCATCAGTCGGTGTATTACTCCAAGATCGTGTTTTTATCATTCTAGTTCAAAAATTTGAATAATTTTCTGTTCAAATATTTAGATAAGTAATAAATTAAACATTATATTTAGTTTAAATAAAAACCATTAATTAACAATTCTTAAATTTAAATAAATAATTAAAAAAATTTGAATTAGAAAAATTTTTCAGTTTTAATTTTCTTTTTTAATTTGAATTAGTGAAAAGTGAGCACATTAGTAAGAATTTTTATCAATTTTTTCACTGTTCACTAATTCAGATTTAGAGAGTTATAATAAATATTTTTAATTTCTTGTCAATGTTGTAAAATTCAATTTCAAGTACAATTTTTTGGAACGCATGATTATGTACTAAAAATCATTAGTTAAAATTTTCATCTTATGGAATTTCATTTATCATAATTATTTTTGAGCCAAATTTTTTTTTTTGTTTGAATTAGTATTTTGCAGAATTTTCATCAAAACGATTTTCTATATTACAGAATTTTTATATAACCGAAAATTCACTTCACAGAATTTTTATTTGTTCGAATTTTTATTTGTCAGAATTTTTATTTGCTCGAATTTTCATTTAAAATAATACGCATTTTAAAGAATTTTTATTGGGTAGAATTTCATTGCAAATAATTTTCTTTCAGATTAATTATTACTAGCTCTTATTTAAGCCATATTTGAGCCGTTTATCACGTCGCGTTCTTTTTTTATAGTGCTTCAAAAAGTGCCAAAAATGCGATTTTTTGACACTTTGAGACAGTTTTTCTCAAAATTGAGACGTGATGGGACAATTTCATTTACAGATTCGTAATCTACGTCAAAAATCCTATAAGAATCACCATCGTTTAATCTTGTGGCAAAATTTTGTCGAACTGTGTAACTTTAAAAAAAATAAATATTTTTTGATGAGATTTGAAATTGGGATGCATTTTACATGTGAATTACTGAAAAATAACAAAAAGTTGCAAAATTTGCAAAAAAATATTTTTTGCAAAAAGTTGCAAAAAAAAAAAATTCAGATTTTTTTCTAATTCATATGTTTAATTTATGTTTAAATTCTAATTTTGAATCATATCTGAACAAAAATTGTTGAAAAAGAATGTGAAAAACGAAAATTCTTGGCCCAGTGACGTCACGAAGACGACAAAACAAACATTTTAATATAATAGAAGATTTGTGAAAAATTTTGAAATAACGATAACTTTAAAAAAAATAAATATTTTTTGATGAGATTTGAAATTGGGATGCATTTTACATGTGAATTACTGAAAAATAACAAAAAGTTGCAAAATTTGCAAAAAAATATTTTTTGCAAAAAGTTGCAAAAAAAAAAAATTCAGATTTTTTTCTAATTCATATGTTTAATTTATGTTTAAATTCTAATTTTGAATCATATCTGAACAAAAATTGTTGAAAAAGAATGTGAAAAACGAAAATTCTTGGCCCAGTGACGTCACGAAGACGACAAAACAAACATTTTAATATAATAGAAGATTTGTGAAAAATTTTGAAATAACGATAACTTTAAAAAAAATAAATATTTTTTGATGAGATTTGAAATTGGGATGCATTTTACATGTGAATTACTGAAAAATAACAAAAAGTTGCAAAATTTGCAAAAAAATATTTTTTGCAAAAAGTTGCAAAAAAAAAAAATTCAGATTTTTTTCTAATTCATATGTTTAATTTATGTTTAAATTCTAATTTTGAATCATATCTGAACAAAAATTGTTGAAAAAGAATGTGAAAAACGAAAATTCTTGGCCCAGTGACGTCACGAAGACGACAAAACAAACATTTTAATATAATAGAAGATTTGTGAAAAATTTTGAAATAACGATAACTTTAAAAAAAATAAATATTTTTTGATGAGATTTGAAATTGGGATGCATTTTACATGTAAATTACTGAAAAATAACAAAAAGTTGCAAAATTTGCAAAAAAATATTTTTTGCAAAAAGTTGCAAAAAAAAAAAATTCAGATTTTTTTCTAATTCATATGTTTAATTTATGTTTAAATTCTAATTTTGAATCATATCTGAACAAAAATTGTTGAAAAAGAATGTGAAAAACGAAAATTCTTGGCCCAGTGACGTCACGAAGACGACAAAACAAACATTTTAATATAATAGAAGATTTGTGAAAAATTTTGAAATAACGATAACTTTAAAAAAAATAAATATTTTTTGATGAGATTTGAAATTGGGATGCATTTTACATGTGAATTACTGAAAAATAACAAAAAGTTGCAAAATTTGCAAAAAAATATTTTTTGCAAAAAGTTGCAAAAAAAAAAAATTCAGATTTTTTTCTAATTCATATGTTTAATTTATGTTTAAATTCTAATTTTGAATCATATCTGAACAAAAATTGTTGAAAAAGAATGTGAAAAACGAAAATTCTTGGCCCAGTGACGTCACGAAGACGACAAAACAAACATTTTAATATAATAGAAGATTTGTGAAAAATTTTGAAATAACGATAACTTTAAAAAAAATAAATATTTTTTGATGAGATTTGAAATTGGGATGCATTTTACATGTGAATTACTGAAAAATAACAAAAAGTTGCAAAATTTGCAAAAAAATATTTTTTGCAAAAAGTTGCAAAAAAAAAAAATTCAGATTTTTTTCTAATTCATATGTTTAATTTATGTTTAAATTCTAATTTTGAATCATATCTGAACAAAAATTGTTGAAAAAGAATGTGAAAAACGAAAATTCTTGGCCCAGTGACGTCACGAAGACGACAAAACAAACATTTTAATATAATAGAAGATTTGTGAAAAATTTTGAAATAACGATAACTTTAAAAAAAATAAATATTTTTTGATGAGATTTGAAATTGGGATGCATTTTACATGTGAATTACTGAAAAATAACAAAAAGTTGCAAAATTTGCAAAAAAATATTTTTTGCAAAAAGTTGCAAAAAAAAAAAATTCAGATTTTTTTCTAATTCATATGTTTAATTTATGTTTAAATTCTAATTTTGAATCATATCTGAACAAAAATTGTTGAAAAAGAATGTGAAAAACGAAAATTCTTGGCCCAGTGACGTCACGAAGACGACAAAACAAACATTTTAATATAATAGAAGATTTGTGAAAAATTTTGAAATAACGATAACTTTAAAAAAAATAAATATTTTTTGATGAGATTTGAAATTGGGATGCATTTTACATGTGAATTACTGAAAAATAACAAAAAGTTGCAAAATTTGCAAAAAAATATTTTTTGCAAAAAGTTGCAAAAAAAAAAAATTCAGATTTTTTTCTAATTCATATGTTTAATTTATGTTTAAATTCTAATTTTGAATCATATCTGAACAAAAATTGTTGAAAAAGAATGTGAAAAACGAAAATTCTTGGCCCAGTGACGTCACGAAGACGACAAAACAAACATTTTAATATAATAGAAGATTTGATATAATTTCCATATAACCGATTTTTCAAACTATACAGAATTTTTATCTAATCGAAAAATCATTTAACAGAATTTCTAATTGATAGAATTTTCATTTGTCCGAAATTGCAAATGGCCGAACAAACAATCGACAGAAAGATTTAGGCGCGATTTTTAAAATCAACCAATCAAAAATTATCCATAAAATTGTGATTGGTTGATTTTAAAAATCGCGCCGCATCTTTCTGTCGATTGTTTATTTGGCCATTTGCAATTTTAAACAAATGAAAATTCTATCAATTAGAAATTCTGTTCAATGATTTTTCGATTAAGTAAAAATTCTGTAGTATGAAAAATCGGTTTTTTTAAACAGAAGATTGAAATTTTTCAAATCTAAAATTACACAAATCATACCAAAATATAACAAAAAAGCTATCATTATATAATGCTAAAAATTTTTTCTATTTTTGATTCTTTTTTCTAATTCATCTAAATTTAATACAATTTATTAATTTAATTTATTATATTTATAGAAAAAAATAAAAATTCATAATATTCTTCGCGTTTCAGATTTATTTATTAATGGAAGAAAAGAATGTTTTTCTTTCAAACTAACATTGTCTATAGTAAATTTAAATCCCTCTTTTTAGGTTGTTTTGAAGTGAAATTTGGCAAAAAAAAAAGAAACTATAGGGACCATTCAAGGTATATCCACGTAAATACACTGTGTAATACGATCAAAGGAGAAAAGAGGATCCTTGGATCCTTTTGATGGTGCTCCGGCGAGGATGTGGCAACAACGGGCAACCAATGATCTTGTGGGAGCACTGGCCAGAAGAAGAAAAAGTCTAAAGCTAAACACCTGAGAGAAGAGCTGAGAGTGAGCGTGGTTTTCGAGATCAGTGCGTGAGGCATATATATATATTTTTCCAATTCTTTTCCTTCCGCGTTTCATGACTTAAATATCACATGTAACATTTCACCGGTATAAAAGTGTTTCAAGTAAATTATGATTCACGCTTTGTTGATACAATCAAATTTGTTGTGATTTTATCAAAAATTTATTATTATTATTCATATACATATATAACGTGAATCGATTTATTGTCTTCAAACTGTGTGTTGTCTGGAATATTTCTCCACAGTGTATTTGTATGTGTGTGTGTGTGTGTGTGTGCGGTCGCTCAATCCAAAAACCAAGCAAATTATTTCTTATTGAAACGCAAAGAATATGATATTATTTTATTTATTTTTCATTTAAAAATTGTAATTAACCTTTTTTTCTACTTAGAAATTTTTTCATGTATAAACATTGCTTCAAAACACTGGAATGAAATCGTTTATCGAAAAGTGTAAAACGTGTTTGACAAGTCTTCTCAGTACCTGGGGATAAGATTTTATGGAGTTATTAATAGACTAAAGGTAAATGTTTTAGTGGAATATCTACTAAATCTTGTACTAAATGTTATTTAATTGAATTGTTATTACTAATAAATTTCAAAAATTCGTAAATTTTAATCAAGTTTTCTTTTGCTTTCAATTTTTCATATATATATGTGATAAAATAATGTTTGTAAAACTTTCAATTTAATTAAATGTGTGTAAATACACACAGAAAAATGATTTATTTCAACAAAATAAAATATATTTGAGTTAAATAAACTTATATTTGTCTCAGAGACAGCTAACTTATTTATTTGGCGTAAATAAAAATATTATTTGTCAGAAATAAATTTTTTTTTTCAATGAAATAAAATATATTTGCAAACAATTAAATAAGTTAGTAGGCTCGGAGACAAATATATACCATTTCTCTGCGAGTGTAAAATTTGAAATTATTATAAAATATATTAATTATAATTTTTTGTTCTTTAGTTTCTTTATATTTTTTTTTAATGAATATTTTATGTTTTAAAATTTTCCATATTGTATATTTTAAATATAACAGCAATATTTATAAATATAATTATAATAAAGAAATAAAAAAAACTTAACAGAATAAACTAAATTATCAATATTATTTATTAGAAGTTATAAAGATTTGATTTATAATTTATTTTAAACTATTACTATTTATTAATGTAATAATAATTAAATGTATTATTATTATTATTATTATTGTAAAATAAATGTTATTTTTTAATAATTTTTCAGCAAAATATACTTAGTTTTTTTTTTGAAAATAAATATTACCAATCACACAGAAAATAGATAATTCAATGTTATTTCAATTTTGCAAGTTTATAATTCTAGAATGATTACGTCGGTAATATTTTTATTTTCAAAATTGTAATTCATTAAAATTAAGGTATAGTTTATCTCGAATGATCCTTGGCAAAAGTTAATAATAGAATTTGGAATGATTTTTAAGTAACGTAAATTTCCTTTATTTATTATTCTGTACTGATAGCTCTGCCTGACAAGAAAAAATATTGTAAATTTATTTATTTATTTTTAAGGAGGAATAGAATGGACAGTCAAATCAAAAGTTAATCTATCCCGATTTTATTATTTTTAAGTAAAACAGCAAGTTATAATAAGTAAAAAGTGTTTAAGTAATAGGTAAACAATTTTATTTTTTCTACTTTGAACTATTACAAATTGTCATCGAATAGTAATTTATTTATTATTGTATTTAATAATAATAAGCGGAAAAAATTATAATTTTTTTGTGTTTAAAAAACAATAAAATTTTTTAGGATATGTTACTGGAATGTTTACAATATTTAACTTTTCGAGGTCACACTGTATGTAGTTGACACGCATAAATTTTTTTTTAACTTTTGATATTAATATAAAATATATAAAATTAGCACCAATTTATCGATAAAACTAAAGCAAAAATTAAAAAAAAAACTATTGTTGCCGTTTTTTTGCTCAAAATTTTTAATAAAACTGGAACAAAAATTTTTTCTTCATATTTTTGAAACACCTAAAATCATTCAAAATATTAAAGGAAATTTTTATTTTGAAATCTTTCGTATTTTGGATTATTGTCAACATCTTGCATACTATGGGGAAATTTATGTTCCTATTTTGAGACTATTGGTAAAATCTTGTAAAGTATGGGAAAATTTTTAATTTTAAATATTTTCAAATTTTTACCATTGCTTAGTTTAGAAAAAAATTGGAAAATTTTTTTTTTTTTCTTAAATTAATTTTCCCTATGAAATGCAAAATACTACCAATGGCCCAGAAACTGTAAAATTTTTAAATAAAAATTTCCTCCATACTCTGTAAAAAAAAGGAGTTGAATTTCAACTGAAATGTTGAACAAGAAAATAAAAAAAAAATTATCGTAGTCATCGCGACCAAAAACATGATTTGTTGTTTCAAATTTCACAAATCTGACATGAAATTCGTATTCAGCGACCCCAAAAACCCCTGAGTAACAAGTTTGAAGTAAATTCGTATGATTTTTAATTTTTTTACTGTCCGCCATATTAGATCCGCCATTTTGAAATTTGAAAAACGGACACCAGATTCATAATTAGCGGCCTCGAAAACCCCCGAGTAACGATTTTCAAGCAAATTCTATAAATTTTTAATTTTTCGTCCGACATATTGTATCCGCCATTTTGAAATTTGAAAATTTTGCAAATCTGCTTTCAGATTCATATTTATCGTACTCTAAAATCTTATTTACAATAGCGTTTGGAATGTTTTGTCTACTATCCGAATTGAGTAACTGAAAGGGTTAATAATCGTTTACAGTTAAAAAGTACACTGAGAAAAACGTTTAGTCAGAGCAACCAAAATTTGGTTGGACCAAAAAAAAAATGTTGGTATTTAAGCAACCAAATTATTTGATTGAGTCAACCATAAAATTTGGTTGAGTGTTTTTTGTTGGCATAACAAAAAAAATTTGGTTAGCTCAACCAAATTTTTTTGTTAGGTCAACAAAAATGTTTGGTTGATCAAAAACCAACAGTTTTTTTTTTTTGTAAAATTAAAAATTTGATTCTACCTTATTTCTTTTCATTTTATCTTTCCTATTTATTTTATTATTATTTATTTATGATCAATTTAACGTTTAATTTATATTTATCCAATTGAAATATTTATGGACTTTGAAAAATCTCATCTCCTGGAATTGAACCTCTGTTTTTAAACTGCGAGTCGGGAACTCTAACCACTGGACTAGCTATCTTTGTGAGAAATTTAAACTAATTGTTCTCTGAAGATACGAGCTGAGAGCGAATTAAATGATTTGGTTGTCGTAACCAAATTTTGCTTAGGACAACAAACGATCATTTGATTTTTTAGACCAAACTATTTTGTTGTGTTAACCAAATTATTATGTTGTCGTAATCAAATTTTGGTTGTCATTTAAATATGTTCAACTAAATAATTTAGTTGCCCTAACTAAATGTTTGGTTGAGATAACTCCTACGACTTTGTTTCAGCCAACCAAAATTTGGTTACAAGAACCAAAATTGCAAACAATTTTGCTACAAACACAAAATCTTTTTTTCCGTGTAATATTTCTCAAATTTCACACAGTTTTACCGTGTCCAAATTAAAGGGTACAGTTTAATTGTATAAAGTTTAATTGAACCGCCTCAAACTATACCTAGTACATAACTGTTAAAAATCCATTGTATATTTAAACGTCAAATTTATAGAATTTTATCGAGAAATTGTATAGCAATTTTTTTTTCCAACTAGATTTTTAACAAATCAAAATTTTGACTTGATATAAAATTTTTTGTCCAAATTTCTCATCTATCGGATTGCATTTCAACTCTATGTACATGTATACAAAAAAAAACCTCTTTGCACACACGGTGCAGATTATTTTTCATTATATATCTCTATCCTTCTACTCGCGAATAACATATATATATATATAGTATACGAGAGTCATTGCAAAACGTGCGAACAGACACAGAGATAAAAAAAAAACCACGTCAAACTGATAAAATGAGAGCAAACTGTTGGTTGGACACCCTCTCTCTGTTCCATGAGGTTGCGCGTACAATCGACGGATATGGTGCGTTCGAAAACTATACAAAACCAAACTAATTAAAAGGGAATCAAGCGACGCTTGCTGGTACACATCAGGCCAGGTTTGCTGATGCTTGTTCCTCGCGTGGATGAGCAAATCAAATATTAATCGTGCAATTAGCGCCAATTGTACTTTAATCGGTTTTTGTTTTTTTTTTTCAGGCCAAATGCCTGGTTGGTTGGTTGACGACGGGTGGTGTGACAAGAATTTCAGCATAACGTTGACACGCGCCGCACACCATTCATTTTCTTGTCATCAGTCACTAAACTCTGACTTGTGGTTTAATTAATTTTCGATTTAAACTGCAAATTTTTCAGCTTTCTTCTTTATATACGCAAAAAAAAAAAAAAGAAATTCCTGTCTGACCAACTGACGATGAACAAGGAAAAAATTATTATATTTTTCAAGCGCATATATGATGATCGCCTTTGAAACAAGGGTGCCTTTTGACTATTTTAGGGGGGGATTTTAATAAAATAAAATATACGCTAATTTATGTTATATATATATGATATTTTCAACTCTATAGAATAAGATTTTTGGATATACAAAATATGAATTTTAATTTAATATTATAAAATGAAGGAAAGATATATGTTTTTAATTTTTCTTTTTGTTTAAGAAAATAAAAAAACAAAAAAAAAAAAAAATGGGAACTAGGGCAGTAGCCGTTGGCGCATCTACAGGAGCAGTGGTTTCAGGAGAAGCTGGACTCGCTGGAGTTCCAAGACTTTTAGAAGATTTAGCCAGACTCTCAGAGGACAAAGAATCCGCCGATATTGTCTTTCTTCTAGGAAGAGACGAGACTACAGTTTATGCCCATAGAATTATTCTTCAAGCCAGGTGAGTTACATTCGAATGAAATTTTTTTTTATTTAATTGCAAACAATACAAATTTCTTTCGATAGACATATAATTTATCAATATTAGAGATTAAAGTTTTACATAGATTTTTAAGTATAATTTCTATTATTTCTAATGAGTTTAAATGAAAATTTAAACAAAAAATTGAGAAAAAATAGTATTTTCAAAAAATATATAAACAGATTGTGTCCTAGACTTTCGATTGTTTAGAGAAAAATTTCAAAAACTAAACACAGGACCACAAAAAAAATCAAACTACTTCCAAGGCAAACCGGAATATGATTTTCTGACGTATTTTGATGCTTTGAACACGAATCTAAAATCCAATATGATCTATTACGTCAGGATTTTTTTCTAACCTAAAAAAACATGTCTAATCAAACGAGTAATTCAAAATTTTTTTGATCTTGGGTTCCAGAGATTTTTGGGGTTGCTGATTACGAATGTGATATGTCAGTTTGTAAAAATTCAAAATGGCGGATCCAATATGGAGGACAGAATTTGTAAAATTTTATTGAATTGGTATAAAACTTGTTACCTAGGGCTTTTCAAGGTCGCTAATTCCGAATTTAACGTCAGTTTTCAAAAAGGCAATATGGCGGATCCAATATGGCGAACATAATTTGTTAAATGTCATTGAATTCGCATAAAACTCGTAACCTAGGGCTTTTTCGAGGTTGTTGATTACGAATCTGATATCGGTTTCCAAAAATTAAAAATGGCGGATCCAATATGTCGCGACATTTTTTGAAAACCGACATCAAATTCGTAATCAACGACCTCTAAAAATCCTAGGTTACGAGTTTTATGCGAATTCAATGACATTTAACAAATTATATTCGCCATATTGGAGCCGACATATTGAATTTTTGAAAACTAACGTTAAATTCGCAATCAGCGACCTTGAAAAGCCCCAGGTAACGAGTTTCATACCAATACCATAAAATTTTACAAATGTTGTCCACCATATTGGATCCGCCATTTTGAACTTTTAAAAGCTGACAGCAGATTCGTAATCAGCAACTCCCGAGTAACAAATTTCAAGCGTAACTACTACTCCACGGAAATTCCACACGGAATTCCGTAAAAATTATATACGGAATTCCGTAAAAATTTCCACAAAATTTTTGAAAGAAGTTCTATTGTAATTTTGCGAATTTTTTATAAGAATTACACACATAATCTCTATACAGAATTGCACAAAATTTTTGTTGGAATTGCACAAAATTTTTGTTAGAATTTCACAACTGTACAATGAAAAAAATTTAGCCGAAATCCTCAACTACCTTTAGTTAACTGACTTGAAAGTAGTAAAAGTAACTACTTTATTGGTTATTTTAACTATGTGCGTGTAGTCAATTTAACTATTTTTTATGGAGTTAAGAATTAGTAGTTAATTGTACTTAACGAAAGTAGTTAAATCAACTTCAAAAATTAGAACAATTACAAAATATCCTTGACCCAACTAAATTTTTAGTTCTTTTAACTACTTTTTAATAGTCCATACAACTTTTTAAATTCAGTTAAGGACCTATTGAACTATGCAGGGTAGTTAAAAAGTAGTCAAATCTACTAGTTTTTTTATTAAGTGTATTTTTTACTGATTTTTTTGTAATTTTAAAATAACTGCTGGTGGATACACTGAAAAAAATTAGTCGAGAAATTCAACTACCGTTAGTTAGTTGACTGAAAAATAGTAAATTTCTTTTGGAAAACGTTTTATTGACCTCTCAAATAAATAAATTATTATAAAATTATAAATTCTATATTATATCTACCAGGAACATTATCGTCGACTAGTTTTCGTTATAGTAGCAGCAGTTATTTTAAAATCACAAAAAAATCAGTTTTTTGAGGTCAGAAAAACATCCTGACGTGATGAAGCAAATTGGACTTTAGATTCGTGTTCAGCGCATCAAAATACGTCAGAAAATATCATATTCTGGTTTGTCTTGGAAAAAAGTTCGATTTTTTTTGGTCCTATGCTATAAGAACAACTGCAGCTTTCTTTTTTTAATACTTAATACTTAATCCTGGGTGTTAAGGGCTATAAGAAGGAAAGAAATAATGAAAAAATTAGTCAATACAGTGCTGCCATTTATATAAATATATATATAAGAAAATGTCGAAAAATCTTGAGAAACTCTCAAGGCGCAGAAATGAATTTTAATTAAGCAAAGGATTGTTAAGAAGAAACGAAAATCAATCGAGAGTTCTAATTAGTCGGATAATCCCGTGAAGCCTTGCAGTTTTTCTCCTTTGAATCGAAAGAATTCTAATTATTAAAAAGAAGATTCGATGATACTTAAGAATGTTAGTCGGAGAGTCTGCAAGGAACTGGAAACACGAGGGGGACCTCTGATTAATTGTAAAGTCAATTATAAAATCCATGTTCATTGAATGGTGACAATACTTTTCTGATAAGTTGGTGAATAAAAGCGCTTTTATATAAAATTTCGGGATTTATTTATAAATCCCTTTTGTCATTGGATTTTTCGCTTTTCTCCCTTATATTATAGGCACGCATCTCTCTTTTTCTTCAATATATTAGTATATGGTGTCACCCTCTTTTCGCACTTGGTTGTAGTCGAATATTGGGAAATTAAGTTACGCATGCCCCTGACAGGTTGAACAATGCGAGACTCTGTATACAATGAAAATTCAGTTCCAATACCCGACTCTATCTCTCTCTCTCTCTCTCTCTCCCTCTTTATATCTCTCTTTCAATTCCTCTCTTTGACAAAGTGACGACGAAATGGAATTGAATCAATAAAGAGTGAAATTCACTCACAGAGTCGCGAATGACATATACACAAATCGCCTTTAGTTTGGATTTCGATTTACTCGAGTACGCGGTCAATGGTACTTGGGAGGAAAACTGATAGGATTATTGTTTAGTTTTGCGCGCGAGAGAAGAGCGCGCGGAAATTGGAATCTTCAAAGTGGTCTCTCTTGTGCGTTAGAGATGATGGAAGTATAAACTGAAGCGAAGAAAGTAAACTTTTAAAACAAATTGAACAAAAGATTATTCGCATATTGGAGGAGGATGACTTTTTTTTTCTTTGCATACCAGTAAAACTTTTGAAACTTTTTTCATTAAAATATTATAAAAACGATCTCTGGCACTCAATTTTTATTTCAGAAATTTATTTTAGATTGCCGCGTGAAAAAGGAACTTCGGGCGAAAGATATCAAAATATGGACAAAGATTTTATCTAAAAAGAAATTTTTTTCTTTTTTTTACATCTCAGAAGCTAGAGAAAGACGAAGAGGATTTTTTTTATCGATTTTTGTAAAAATGGTTAACATTGTAAAGAAAAAAAGTTTTGCCTTAAAAAATAGACACTAAATTGTATATAACTTTAAAAATATGCAACTTAAAAAAAATCTGTACGTCTTTCTCTATATAATGTTATTAAGAACCTGTAGTTAAATTTTTAGGTAAGTCGATTGTGATTTGTGAAAGTGTATTTTGTGCATGAATGTGCAATAAAATCGTCTACCTAAGAAAAATTGAATTTTTTTGGAAAGTTTTTTATGCTTTTGGATGCGTTTTTGGTGGTAAGAAGGGTCTTCCTCTACTCGGATCTAGGTCTCAAATTTTTTACATTCTCATCATAATGAGAAGGTATTACATTTGGGCGATTTTGAGCATTCTCTAATTTTAGTAAATCTCGACGTTTTGAGACTTTCTGATGCCGAAAAAATGGGTCCTAAAAAAATGTCTGTCTGTCTGTATGTCTGTAGACAAAATTTGGTCCGACGATAACTCGAACAAATTTTAATGAATCGACTTCAAATTTGGTATACACCTTAAGTGTACCAAAATCTCGCCTGAGTTCGTTGGCCAGATGATTTCGTTGAAAAACAACAAAATAATTCAAATTTTTAGTTTTTAAAAAGTTCTAAAATTCGCATTTTTCAAAAAAAATTTTTTTTAAATTTTTTTTCGAAAATTACGACTAAAAATAAACACTTTTTTCCTTTGACAATTTTTAATAGCGATTAAAACAAAAAAGTTATACCACTTTTTTAAAAAAAGACAAAAAATGACAAAAACGGATGAAAAATGGGTAAAATGCAGAGCATAATTACTTCATTTTGAAAAACTATGTTCAACTATGTATCATTTCTGTTTGAATCACCTTAAATTAACGTATATTACAGTAACTTACTCATAAAATACGGAATTTTTGTTTTTTTAAATTTTAATGAAAAATTTGTTTTTACATTCTTATCATAATGAGAAAGTATTACATTTGGGCGATTTTAAGCATTCTCTAATTCCAGTAAATCTTGACGTTTTGAGACTTTCTGATGCCGAAAAAATGGGTCCTAAAAAAATGTCTGTCTGTAGACAAAATTTGGTCCGACGATAACTTGAATAAATTTTAATGAATCGACTTCAAATTTGGTATATACTTTAAGTGTACCAAAATGTCGCCTGAGTTCGATGGCCAGGTGATTTCGTCAAAAAAACAATAAAATTATCCAAATTTCGTTAAAATATATCAAAATTTTCGGATTAAAATTCTATGTACAACATTTTAACTATCATAGCTACTTCAGTTATATTGTATGTAAAGTGAAGGTGTATATCGATTAAACTATTTTTTTGAACCTTTTTTGTTTAATATTGTGCACGTCGTAAATAAAAGATTGGTATTTTAATGAAGAAAATTTAGATTAATGTTCTTATAATGGTGCAATATTGTCAAACACCATTGGCCTCATGCACCCCAAAAATTTCGACATGATAACAGCATTATCAAGAATTTTTTTTCTCTTTAAGATTACATTTATGCTATTTTGAATTTTCTTTAATAATTCCTCTAAATCTGCAAGTTTTGCTATCGCTTTTTTCTAATTTTCGAGCGTGAAACGCGAGTGCCGTGATGAGAATGTTATCCTTAAAGTCAAAGTACTTTAAGAAAATTAAATGTTTAAAAAATTTCACTTACATCCATTGTACACAAATT